GAATGTTAATGTAATCAAAATTGGTTAAGAGAATGCACTACTGAAGCAAAACTCTATTATTATTATGATACAATAATTAGGATTTTATGAGGAAATACTTGACATTTTACATGTGGTATGAATGTACTATTTGAAACATTAGTATTATAATAACAATTTTACGTTATTTTAGTTTATCTGTTTCCATCGAAATTTTAAATATAAATAGAATATTTTTTCCTATCGAATTTTAGAGCATAAATAACCTAATACATATTTTCCAAATACTTCTTTGAAACAGTTGCAACCATATGAAAAAGTGTTAAAATGTAACGAAAATGAAGAGTCCACTTTAATTCATATTACTAAACCAATATATTTGAAGTGGATAGGACAATTAAAGCTTAGTTAAAGTTAGACTAATTAATATTATACAAAATAAGATAGTTAAATTTTAAATATAAACATTATTTTTTCCAAGTCGAATTTTTGAGCATAAATAGTCTAATTTATATTTTCGAAATACTTCTTTGAAACAGTTGTAACCATACGAAAAATTGTAAAAATGTAACGAAAACGAAGAGTCCACTTTAATTCATATTACTAAACCAATACTTTTGCATATTTGAAATGGATAAGACAATTGAAGCTTAGTTAAAGTTAGACTAATTAATATTATACAAATAAGATAGTTAAATTTTAAATTTAAACATTATTTTTTTCAAGTCGAATTTTAGAGCATAAATAACCTAATTTATATTTTCGAAATACTTCTTTGAAACAGTTTTAACCCTATGAAAAATTTTAAAAATGTAACGAAAACGAAGAATCCACTTTCATTCATAATACTAAACGAATACATTTGCATTTACGAAATATATATTTGAATATATATTTGATAAGACAATTAAAGATAATTAAATGTTAAATAAAGATAGAATTTTTTTCCTATCGAATTTTAGATCAAAAATAGTCTAATTTATATTTTCGAAATACTTCTTTGAAACAGATGTAGTCATACGAAAAATTGTAAAAATGTAACGAAAACAAATGGTCCACTTTAATTCATATTACTAAACCAATACATTTGCATATTTAAAGTGGATAAGACAATTGAAGCTTAGTTAAAGTTAGACTAATTAGTATTATACAAAATAAGACAATTAAATTTTAAATGTAAACATTATTTTTTCCAAGTCGAATTTTTGAGCATAAATAGTCTAATTTATATTTTCGAAATACTTCTTTGAAACAGTTTTAACCATATGAAAAATTGTAAAAATGTAACGAAAACGAAGAGTCCACTTTCATTCATATTACTAAACCAATACATTTGCATTTCTGTTGAATATATATTTGATAAGAGAATTAAAGCTTAATTAAAGATAATTAAATTTTAAATATAAATAGAATCTTTTTGTTATCAAATTTTAGAGCAAAAATGATCTAATTTATATTTTTGAAATACTTTTTTGAAACACATGTAGGCATATGAAAAATTGTAAAAACGTAACAAAAACGAAGAGTCCACTTTAATTCACACGAAAACATTTGCATTTCTGAAATATATATTTGAAGAGGATAAGACAAACAAAGCTCAATGAAATGTATACAATTTAGACTAAATAAGATAATTAAATTTTAAATATAAATACAATTTTTTTCCTGGCAAATTTTAGTGCCTAATTCGTATTTTCGAAATACTTTTTTGAAACAGTTGTAACCATATGAAAAATTGTAAAAACATCCCGAAGAGTCCACTTTAATTCATATTACTAAATCATTACATTTGCTTTTCTAATATATATATATGAAACGGATAAGACAATTAAAGCTATTTTTTGAAGGCTCTGCTATCACACGAAATAGCGTTCCAATTTATACCAATTGATACTATTTTTGTAACTACCGCGAGTTTGTATTAATGAATTATGTCTGTTCACTTGCCTACATTTTCTCTATATCGATTCTAAAAATGGCGCAAAACGTAAATATGAAGAAAAGATTCAGTTACGAGAAAATACGAAGTGTTTTCGAACTACTTTTTTAATGTTTAAAAAAGTACTCCTAAGCTGCATTATTTTTCACAAATAATTGCTAATATTCATTGATTTTCTTCTAGCTAGAAAAAACTCGCCACATTGATTTTTAAAAAAGTTCAATAGCTTTTAAAATACATAAGCTTTTCTTCAGTTTAAATCTCACAAGGCTACAATTATGTGCTTCGGAAACGTATCCTACAATAATGTTAAAAGTAACAATTTCAAAAAATAATAATTTCATGCCTTTTAGGATAAAATTATTTTAATCAGAATAATAAGGGGAAAAAACACTAGTAAGAAATGTTAAGCGAAAAGAATGTTATTATACGTGTGAGATGGGCGCCAATAAGAGTAACCTATGAAAGTTCATAAGTGCTAGACCCCACACTGAAGAAACAAAAAGATCTCAAAGTACACAGTAAAAAATTACGGACCAAATTACGGTAAAAAGTACCGACACACCAGTAGTTTTTACCGGAACAAGTTGGTGAGCTAAAACTTTTTTAAGTACCATAATTTTCACCGTAATAATTACCGTAAAATGACTTAATCATTCTAATTAATTAAATATTACTGTAAAAATTGCGCTATAATATTTTACATTAAAAATGGATTTTGGGGGAAAAGTGAATTTTACGGTGAAATGGATTTTATGGATGATGCACCCAATGTGATCCGAAATTTTTACAATGTAGATAATTCAAGAAATTTTTGTATCAAATAATATAATCTAATAAAAAAAATTTCAGATTATTTAAAAATTACTAATCAGACTATAGAAAAACATTTCCAATCAGATTATACAAAAAAAATACCTATCAGATTATATAAAAGATTACCACATTATAGAAAAAGAAAAGAAAAAAATACCACAGATTTTATTTCCAAGAATATACTGAAAATGTGTATCATCCTTTCCGTATTACAGACATTTAAGTCTTATATAAATCTAGATCGATATTTCATTCAACTTTATTCTTCAAAAATAAAATATACCTAGCATGTCTGCAAAACACCGTATAAAAGAAACTGTGTCAACAATAACTGTAATTTTTAAAAACTATTTTAATTTAACCATTTTTCATAGAAGATATAATTTGTCTCTTATTTTTCATATTCTCCTTTCATCTTCCTAGTTATGAAACCTGTTTTATTGCTTTCTCAATGACAAACATGTTATAACTTATTTTTTATTCATCATTTACGTTCGCATTACGCTGCAGTTCAACTTTACTCATATTTTGAAATATATCGAGGTTATAAAGCAATTTTACTGAAGTTATGCAATATAATATTTACATCTGACTCATGTGTAAAAACAATATTATGTGAACTTCCTCAATTTTTTTTTTTTTTTAAGCAATAGGTCCTGAAGCATGAAAGCTAAAAATTCTTGATATATCTTAAAAGCAATATTTTTTTTTCCGCCTGCTTCTGGAAGCGAAAAAAAAAATTCTTACTAGATCTCGCAGTTTTTTTTTAGGAGTGGCTTAAAATAAACTCATATTTTATTTCATAACCGTCGTTGAACAACCGACCCAATTTTTTGGGTTTGCGACTACTAATGTTCAACTCCGTAGCCTTGTAATTTTGAACCCAATCCAGAAGACAAGGGAACTCCTGGATCAAGTATTGGGAGAAATTTGCCTTCGAGGAGGACTTTGCTGGAGCAACCCCGCATTTGCGTTGCATGTAGAGGAAAGCCTCGAAAACCTCCAACGGTTAGCCTGACGGCAAGGGGACTCTAACCAATGATCCGTCTACCATTGGAGATATTTTACTTTAGCACAGTGGTCGGTGCAAGCCGGATGCGGAATTCGTATCGACGAGCCATCGTTGGGATTCGAGCCCGGTTCACCTCATTGGAAGGCGAACGCTCCATCCCCTGAGTCATCACGGCTCAAATAAACTCATAGGAAATATTTTGTCAACATAAAATTGGTGAAAATTATTTGTAGGCATTTATTTTTTTAAAGTTTATCTGGGCCAGCAAGAATTATGCTTTCAATTTATTGGAAAGTCTTTTTTATTTATTTATTTTTATTTGTGGCAAGCGACATTTTCATATTGTTATGAAAAAGTTATTTATTATTATTATTGTAATTTTTTTTCAGACTTGATGTTTTTTTTTTGTTGTTGTTTGCAATACCATGAAGAAAAGAGTATAGTTTGCGTAATTACATATTAATTACATAATGCACATAATATTTTAATTTTTAGTAAATATATATGATCCATTTTTATTTTTAAATCTCAAATTTTTTTAAACCTGGTAGATTTTGACGCATCTCGTTGTGTCTCTAAATTTTACAGATATTCCAACTTTTAAAAAAAAAAATCAGACAAGATTTTTAAAATAATCCTCCAAATGGTTTAACGCCATTTATTATAAATTTACGAATTTTATTTACTTAATAATAGCTATTTGAGCAATGATGGGCGTTAAAGATATACAGTGTTTTACGCAATAGCACATATTTCTAACAGTTTTTTCAGGTAGTATGTCTATTACAAATCAATATTTAAGAAAAGGGAAAAAAAAGTCATAGAAATCGAATGAATCGCTAGTAATGAAAGTGGTACTAAAAACATTTCAGCCTATTTCTTTGCCTATTTAAACTTGTTTTTGTTTTTTATTCACGTAAATATTTATTTGTGATAAAAAATGTTTTTTTTTATTTATTTCATTTTTGAGAAAAATTCTAAAATTAAATATTACGGAACATCCTGCATAGAAATATAAATGAGAAAATGCTAATAACATTACTTCATTTGATTAGTGTGGTTTTTTTTTTCAATTTTTATTTTATTTGTATAATTTGCATTTTTAAAGTCAATGCAGTGCGTATATTTTTCATTTCTTTTTATGACCTTTTTATTAAGTAAACGTTTTGCTGAGTATTATTTTTAAAATATCGTTCCATCCTATAAAAATAATGAATACCAAACTGAATAATTGAAGATTTTTTCACAGTTAAGTGAGTTACTTACAAAACAATTTTATTTAAACTGTATCAAAATGATTAGTTACAAATGAGCAGAGTAGAAGACAATTTTCTAATTGTTTTTGGTCGAATTTATTTTGAAGTTTTCTCGAAGGTCGGTCGAATTCAAAACTTGATTCCAGTATCACATAATCTTCTGAAAAAAAGGAAGAAAAAAATTAGTGTCAGTTTTAAGAGAAATAAAGGAAAAGCAGTCAACTTTTTTCTCAAGCGATAAAACATTTCCGTGACAGCTGGCGTCAGAGTTTCACTCGCGAAAATCTCTTTGAAAATCGTATCTATGTCATTTTTCTTCATTTTATCATTGGAATTTCCCATAGCATGGTCAATTTAAATAGCTAGTAAGATAATTTGTCAAAATACACTCTATAACAAAAAAATCGACGCACCAAGAAGGAGTTATCCGATTGAAACGAAAATTGGTGGATATGAAGACAATGTACAGAATAGTAAATGATTAAAAATTTTCAGAACAATTGAATAATTTATTGCAGAGTTACAGTAACAAGTTCAATAAGGTGTTGACTCGCCTCTAGCCTGGATACAAGTTGCCACACGGCGTGGCATAGACCGATAAAGCTCCCGGATGGTCTATTGCGGTATTTCCTGCCAAATTCGATCCAATTGTCGAACGAAGTCATCAACATTCCGTGCCAGATGCACTCGCCTTCCTATCATATCCCAGACATGCTCGATGGGAGAGAAATCTGGTGATCTGGCTGTCCAAGGAAGAGTTTGACAAGCTTGCAGACAGTTCATAGCAACACGTGCCGTATGTGGTCTGGAATTGTCCTGCTGCAAGAGGAACGGTAGCAAAACAGGTCTTAGGATTTCGTCGACGTACCCCTGTGCAGTAAGTGTACCTCTAATGACGACCAAAGGGATCCGGCTGTCAAAGGAAATGGCACCCCAGACCATAATGCCTTGTTGAGGGCCGGTGTGGCGTGCAATAGTGAAGGCAGGATCCCCCCTCTACCCTGTGCGCCTCCAAACACGTCTTCGATGATCGTCAGGACACGGAAGAGGGATTCGTCGCTAAAGACTATACGTCCCCAGTCGGCATCATTCCAGCCTGATCGAGCGTCGATTTTGCGCGTCTTAGTGCGTTCTTGGTGCGTCGATTTTTTTTGTTATAGAGTGTAATTAACAAATTTAAAGTTAAGCAATGCAGGATAAAATAACTGATAGCAAAAAAAATAAGTAAAACATAACTACTGTCACTAAAATTAATAAAAAAATTCACTCAGTTATCTAAAAATTTATATTATGATACTGAATAACACTTGCTATTTTAATTTTATTTGAAGAATTTTATTCTTTCTGATATGCAATTCTCAAAACTTTTTGTGCACTTTTAGGGAAATCTTTAAATAATTAAATCATATGTTACTATACAAATTTCCTACTAATTATATTATGCGTAGTTCACATTTCCTAAAAATGGTTAAATTTTAAGCTATAAGTAGAGCCAGGCATATTTTCTTCTTTTTGGAATTCATGGAGCAGAAAAAAAGTCTGGTAAAATTACCGTACTGCATAGTAATTACATTTCTGATTTAAAAATGAATAAATAATAAAAAGAAAAAAATATTATTTGTTACGAAAATATACGGTATTTCAGCCATTCTTCCTTTCATATAGTAACAGTTTAGTGGAATTTCTGGTTTTAAAAATTATTGTTCTTATTACCACATATTCAGTGAAAACAACTTAAAATTGAATTGTAAATTTAACCGAATAAATGGATTATCATAAAACTATCACGTTTGCCAATTTTTATCACATAGTATGAAGCCATATTTTATTGTTTATTTTACCAAAATGATTATCAAAGCTCTTCTGTAAAAATTATCGAGTTTTTTGGTTTTCTCATACAATCAGAAACGCGTTTAATTTCACCACAGCTTTAATCATACTTTTTCTCAGTATATAATGGCTTCGAATAATGATTATGATAATGATTTTTCGATTAATGGTTCTAAATTCTCGTTTTCAGGGTATATTTTAAAGCATCAGATTTAAAAAAAGAAGGATAGTTGAATTTAAACAGTTAATTTATTTCAATAAAACTTCCGCCTAATCAATTATAACAGCCCCTACCACTTAACAGCCTTTGTAGGCTGCTTTGGAAAGAGATTTTATATCAAAGCACCACAGTGAGTTAATATTATATGTGTGAATAAATTTTTAGAGAAAAATTTAAAACAAAATTTTTAGTACCATTAATTTTCAAATATTGAGCGAAGAGAATTATTCAGAAAATTTTGCAATGCATAATACTTAATAAATATTTATAAATTTTTGTAGCTGCTTAAATTACGATTTAATCTATGACTGATAATAATTTACCTTTTATTAATGTGGGATAATTCATTGCACTGGAGAAAAAAAATTTTGCGGGAATTTTTTTCATTAGATCTTCGCTACTTTCGTATCGCTGATTTCAAATCTGAAATTGATTTCTCTCTCAAAGCTACATTTTTTAAAATTTTTTTAAATGACAATTTTAGTCTGCTTTTCGTCGAAATGTACAAGTTTAAAAACGTTATTTATAACATAAATGTTGCAACAAACTTCTAGGGGAGTTGGGGCACATCATCAGGATTAAAATTGCATAGGAAGCTCGGAAATGTCGTCATACGTTACTAGGGGGGCTGCTTTATTATAATATGTTTCCCAGTGTTCTTCTGCGCAGGTCATAATAGAAAAATCGACCCTAGCCACGTACGACGGCCTTTTTTTTTATCCATTTTTAATTCTGATAATTTGTCTTAACTCCCCTCGAAGTTTGTCACTTGATTTATATGACCCTCTTTTATATATAATATTTTTAAACATATACATTTCGACAAAAAAAAATAGACTGAAAATGCTGTTTAAAAAATAAAATCTGTAGCTTTTGGAACAAAACTAATTTAAAATTTAAAATCATCACACCCGAATAAGTCAAGATGACACTATTACTCATTCAAATAATGTAAAAAGCGTGCAAAATACCTGTTTCTAATTTACTGTTATGATTATAAGCAATAAATAATAATTTGCGGTTTTATTAAAAAAAATATTTACCAGTTAATATTCTTCCTTTCTTCACCACCAATACTTTCCATAATAATAAGGCCAACTATAGTAGTAAGGATATTTTCCATAATAAGGCCAATAGTAAGGGTAATATGGGTAATGGGAATGATATGGATAGTGCCAAGACTTTGCACCTGCTAGAACAGCAGCAATAAGAGCCAACAATACAATGAGAAACTGAAAAAAAAGACAATATATATATTAAAATCAGTCGATTTAAAAGTAAAGCTTTGTTGCCTTTCGAAATATGTAAGAAATTATAATATTATTTCTTATATGAGCTGTATGATAAGCATATAATAAGCTACATAATAAGCATTATTTCTTAATAATGTAAGAAATTATAATAAGTATTTTTGGTATTTATCTTTTTGGGGGGTAGAAGGAAATGCACACACTACCACAGTACCTATGTTAGTATTTAGGTACCTATTATCAAAATTACTTAAACATCTCGGGTGTCAATGATATAATGGTGATTTTACGACTCCCCCCCCCTCGAAACAGATAAGTACTGTTTTTATTTATTGTTTGGTAAATAACACCAAAATATTACATATGAGCCTTTGTGGCTCAGGGGATAGAGCGTTCGCCTCCCAATCAGGTCAGCTAGGTTCGAATACCAGCTGTGACTGGTAGATACGAATTCTACTCTCAACTCGCATCGATCATAATGTTGATTTAAAATATCCTCTGTGGTTGACGGATTATGGATTAGAATCCCCTTGCTGCAGGGCTAATCGGGGAGGTTTTCGTGGTTTTTCTCACCATGTAACGCCAAATTGTAACATGATTTTGATTCTAATTCAGTTATACGTTTTTGATAGAATGTTGATGCATAAGCTTGAACCTGAGGGTACTTCTACTTCTATTTATTAGAATTCTTTTCCCAGCGGTGGCTCGTTGATATGAATTCTGCTCTCAGCTAGCACTGACCACAGTGTTGACGTAAAATATCCTCATTGGTTAACGGATCATTAGCTAGAATTCCCTTGCCATCGGGCTAACAGTGGGAAATTTTCGTGTTTTCTCTCTCCATGTAACACAAATGCGAGTTAGTTCCATCAAAAAGTCCTCCATCACGAAGACTAGTTTGTCTCAATGCTTGATCCAGGAGTTCTATTGTCTTCTGTATTGAGTTTTACACGAATTTTACACGATTTTGATGTAAGTAAATGTTGTATGTTTGCGAACAAATGTTTTCGATTAAGAAGAAAATAAAATCAAAATATCGTTCTGGATATGCACCTAGATCATCCAATTTTATTAGTTTTTTCATGAACTAATCCTAGAAAACAGAAGCAACAAACTCAGGTTTTTATTTGTGTTGTTATATTTTGTTTCACTACTCAGGCATCTGAATAAAATGTGTTATTACTGAATAATCCTTAAAAGCAGCCTAAAAATAGCATTTTTGTTTTAACTTATAATATTTTTCAGGATTTTTGAAAAGTTTTAAGTAGCACGCATTTTTTTCTTCTTCCAAAAGTGACAAAAAAAAACTACTGACATTTTTTAAGCTAAAAGAGAAATTAATCCTTTTTCTTGAAATAAAATTCCAGACACGCTCAAAAGCATAATAAGTATAATGATCAAATTATTTTATGCCAACTTGCTTAATTTAAAAATTCCCTTTTTTAGAGCGAAAAAAATTGTTCTATCGTAAATGAAAGGCGACAACACAAGATTCCTTACTATCTTCCTGATGTACTTTTTTTATGGTATAAAAAAGTATCTCAGTTGTGCTAGATTTCATAAAAATGGTAGTTGTTTGATGATACCGAAAAGAATAAAATTATCCTGTTGTAAAAAAGAAAACGACAGCAGTCGGTATGTTTTTGTAGCTCACATGCAAGAATTAAGATTGTTATAAAAACTTGTGGTCATTTCGTCTAATTCACCAAGCGTAAATAATTTCTGAAGTTAATGTAGAAATGCATAAATATGTATTTTATTTCAGCACTCATAGCTTAAGATCCATTTCTTTTGTGCTTTGTATTCTTTTCGAATAAACAAATGATCTGAAATTTTCTTGTTTTGTGTTAAAGTGCATTAACTAGTTTCATCTTAATATTTGAACATTTCCCACATATTTGTGAATCAGATAGGATTGTTTCGATTTCTTGAAAAAAATAATTGAAGTTCGAGAAAAAAAATATATGATAGGTTGTTTACTTTTTGCAAGGATTGATGCATGACTAAAAATTCCAAAAAATGCACATTGCAGCATATCACCCCTTCTCGAAGTAAAATCATTCCGGAGTGACCGTTTTTTGCTTTCGAAAACAAAAATGTGTTTAGGTCCTACATTATTTGCAAATTAAAAGGAGGAAAAACTAATTTTTTATAATTTTTTTTTATTTTGATATGCTTCCTCTTCCTACACATTCAATATCTTCATTTGAACTCCTCTTAACGTATTCAATGCGTAATTTAATTTTGATCTCGTTTAATAATTTTTCTATGTCTTTAAATAAATTTGATATATTTTTGTAACATAGTTCAAGTTGGGCAATATTCATTTTTAAGACATATCAAAACAGATAAGATTCGCAGAAAAAAAACTATTCTGGGAGAAATATAAAAATGTTTGAAAAGTGCAAATTACTTGTATATTAAAATATCATAAGGAAAAAGAACAGAAAAAGCAAAAGCAGACGAAGTCGTAAGGTTAAATGTGTCAATGAGATATCCAATTCAAATGCAATGATACTCGAATAATAAAATTCAAAATACTTTAAAGAAACTAAATAATGTACCAGTATTAGTATTATGCAAAATGAGACGCCCTAAAAATTTATTCATATCAATACCATATCGTTTAAAATTAATAAAAGCAACGATATTTGCTTTAAGAGAAAGCGAACATTGTTAGGCCTAATATTAAGAATAGATGAAATTTTTTAGATTTAGTTAAAAATCGTTCTCAAATTTCGCACCGTTTATGAACCGCAGCAGTAGAATATTTTACCATTCTTAAAGTAAACTAAGTATAAAACATAGATAAAAATAATTTATTAAGTTATTTATGAGATATTTATTAAGTGAAAAATTTATAAAAATTTTTTTACTTCTAAACAGCGGTTTTTGTACTACTAATTAAATGTTATCCTTTGCTTTGTTCACCAACAAATTGTAAAATTGAAAACTAATTAAATTTTCCTAAAATCTGCCATTTATAAAAACAAGCTGCAGAAAAACTTGTGTTCCAAAAAAAGCTGCTAACAAATAGGAATGATATAAATCTGTCTTATGCTAAATTATTACTCCATATTTGCTCATTTATTTTTATTATTTTTAATAAAAATAATACATGTCAAGCCATTTGTTATGTAACCTATTATTTTCTAGTAATAGAAAAAATATAAAAAGATTGGCATAGTAAATTTTCTCATAACACTAAATTTTAAATTTTTGAATAAAGTAAAGGAAGGCAGAAGTTGATCATGTTTTAAAACTAAATCATGATCAACAATTTTCAATTTTCACTGTATTTCAATTTTCCCTGTAAGGTTTCCTTAGATTTCTAACACAAACTTTTAAATTTGAGAATATTATACATAGATAATTTTAGAATATATTCTAAATTATATATTCTCTATATGTATAATCTGTAGAATATATAGCTTAGAATATATTTAATATATAATATAAGGACTCCTAGTTTTCTTTTATTTTTACCCCACTTTTTACACTTCTGAATAAAAGATGAAGAAAAAAATGCAATGTTTCCTTATGTATTTTAATACATAATGTATTCTAATATTATTAGAGGAAAACTGTTCTAAAGTTAAAAATACGTTTTTAAAATATTAAGATACACTAAGAAAGTATTTTTTTTTTGTTTGAGGTAAATATAAGAAAAAGTCCTGATTTCTACAATAATATGAGAAATTATGTCGAAAAAGAATTCTAAAGTCAAATATCTTGGCAACAAAATAAAGCATAAATTTAAGACAAAAACCAGGAGAAAAATTATTTAAGAACATACCACGATTATCTTCATTTTCTTCGGGGATAAAGAGAGGAGGTGGGAAAAAATATCCAGGAAAAAATGCTCCTTACACTACAAAAACTCACGATCTCTGCAAAAGCGATATTGACAACCACCAGTAAAAAAACTCCCTTTTTATACAAACATACCACTCAATGCATTTCTAATAATTTTTATTTCTAAAACGTACACAAATGTGACAAAAAAGAACTTTTAATTTACAAAAGGCTGAGAGAAACAAGTTAAATGAATGGAAACTCAAATTAAAGAGTTTCTGCAATCAGGGACAAGTTGGAATCCAAGGTCGTGGGGTGTAGTTTTGCATTTTGATACCTTTAACACAACTACTTCTTCATTGTAATGCTTTTTAAATAAACGGCCATTATTTTGATCGTTTCGTTGTTTTCCGGTGTTCCTTTTTTCAATGGCTGCTTCTGTTTCTGTTTTGTAGAACAAAAGATTCCAAATGGGTGAAGAACGTTCAAAAGGATATGCTTGATAACGGTTTCGGTTAAATATTCAGAATGAATGTCACGTAAAATATTTTTTATACATATATTAATGGTCTAACTATCGTTTGGAAAACTTTCACTGGGAATAATTATGACGAGTTGGAATATTAACCAATATTGATTGTTATTCCCAATGGATTGCGCCTTTTGTTTAATGTTCATAATAGTAAGGGTTTTAGGTATAATAATAGCAAATGTAAATAGTTAATTAATTTTTGAATAATTATAATTAAGGCCCTTTTAATTTTTCATTAACTTTTTATTTGCAGAATTTGATTAGGTGTAGAACTTTTCTCTTTATATATCTTTTAATTTTTATTTATTTATTTACTAATACAAAATATTTTTCTTTTTCTTCATAATTTTGTTCTGAATCGTATTTGATAAACGATTGAACCAAAAAATTCTACTTGAATATCTTGAAAATTTAAAAATTTTCTAGCTGTTTTCTAAGAAGTTTTTATGAATTTGGAAGGAAAAACTGTGAATAGTAAGGGATTTTCCACAAATTTTATTTTGTACTATTAAACAAGATTTATTAAAGATGACATCGGCATCCCTTTCCTTTTAGAATGTGTGTTTTCGTTCCTAATACCACTGCATTTTAGGGTATTATCATTAATATTAAATTTTGTTATATGGTACAAAAAGTAATTGGTGGAAAACCTCTTATCATTTTAGCTTTCATTAAAAAAGTCCAAAAGCTAGCATTGCTAAAATCTTACTCTCATTTTTAATACATTCGAATTGGTCTTTTTTTCATAAGTTACCAAATACAATTCAAAACAAATTTATATATATACAGTCAAACCCCGCTATAGTGAAGTCCCGGATATAGTGAACGAAAAGTTTGCTCCCGTGCCTTGCTATACAAGTATAATATTATTTTTTTGTAGATATAGTGAACCAAAGGAAGAGAGGAAATCGGTTATTAATGAACTTTTTTCTGTCTTCGACTAAATTTTTCTTTTCATTTTTTTATAATAATTCTGAAATTTCTACTTCAAAATAAATACATAAACCGATTTAAAAAAACCATATATAACATGGAATATAGCAATAAGCATTTTTTCTTGTTTGCTTCTTTTATCTCACTTTCCCATCCCTAAATAAAGGCCAACACCAGCAGATATTGCAACTGTAAGGGACCAGTGGGGTCAATATTTATTTCCTATCAGAGAGAGTGCATTTGACTGCGTAGTTATTCATTAATGGTCAAAGGGGTGGACACTAATCTGTGAAGATAAGACACTAATTTCAACTCGTTTTTACTGTCAGTTCAGTTAAAGAATCCTGCAAATATGTGTCACAAATTAAACTACGGCGACCAGAAAACGTAAAACGTGCTTCATTTAAGATAAGATGGACATAAACAAAATAATTGAAAATGGATGTAATCAAGCCAATATTTGCAATAAAAATGAAAGTTTAACACATTTTTTGTTACAACATATTATTTTTCAGTCCCTTATTTAAATAATGTGTAATAAAAGGAGTTTGGGAACCATTAGTTAAATTGTTTGAGGAACGGATATAGTGAACTCCCGGTTATAGTAAACCGAAATTTCGCTCCCTTGAAGGTTCACTATAGCGGGGTTTGACTGTATAAAATAAAATAAAAAGTAAATAAAAAAAAACTTTTGCCGCACATGCGCAGTATTAATTTAAATTATCAAACCTTGCGCAACCTTTAACTATTTTTTTTTTCAAATTTTAAAATGATATTTTTATTATTAATTAAAAATTACTCTAAAAAGTTAGTAAAATTTTATTGAATATGTCAGTAATTACTGGACGAAAACGAAAGGCAAAAAAATTAGTTTCTATAAGGTCGATATTTTCATGAATGTTTAAGCTAGGCCTACGAAACTTTGTGCAATTATTGCATATGATAACCAATGTAAATGATATTAGTTATAACCTTATTGCTATATTTTTTGGAAAAGGGTATCCAAAACCATTCTTTTTCATTCCTAATTTATTATTGATCCCTCAAACCTCTCAGATCTTTAAATTTTATTGATATGTATGAAAAATCGCATGACCTAGACCAGGGATGGGGAAACTACGGCCCGCGGGCCAACTGTGGCCCGCCGGAAGGTTTTATCCGGCCCGCGGACAGAATTTTAACTTGCCGATCCGTGGCGAATATAAACAATATACATTATACGTCCATTTTTTTATCTACTTTGTTTAAAGCTATTTTTGTTCTTTCTTTTTTAACAAAGTACTGATGACCTTTTTACTTTCTCTATTTTTGTTCGACAAGCCATAAATTGATGGAAATAGTTAGCACAGACAGCTTCAATTAGTAAAATGTTGAAAGCAGAAGTTCCTTATAGAATAGCCGTAGATTAGCTCCAACTAGTGTTTGTCTTTCTCGAGAAGCTGACATATGGAATCTAATATAGGTGAATTGTACTTCACATGAGGCAGACTACACATTTTTAAGTTCCAACGAGCGGATTTTTCTGCCGGGGCGAGTTCTAACATTATTTACTGCGTATGGAAAGATTGCTCACATACAACGTCATTGTGAATAATGGTGAAATTATTAAATGCATAAAATGGCTACTGCTTTTTTGAGTTATTTGTAAAATTTCTTAACCCAAAAATGGCAAATAAAAAACGCTAAGTGCCATGCGTTCAATGATGAATTGACTTTCCTTTATTTCGGAAATTAGAATTTTTATTTTAGAAATTTTTACTAGGCCCACCAAATTTTTTTTTTATAGAGTTTTGGTCCACAACCAAAAAAGTTTGCCCATCCCTGACCTAGACACTTGAAAAGTCATAAAATATTTCTGTAAGTATTTTTTGAGAAATATAAGAAAATGTGTTAGTATAGAAGTGTTTACTTAATTTTGTCCAACCTTTGTAATCTCTATAGCATTTCAATCATCTTTTTTTTAATATTTTTTTTTAACCATTCTCTTTTATCTCACTGATGAAGAGATGCCATTGTGAGATCAAAACGAGTACTGTTTTTAAACTTTTACAATTCGCCATTTGAAAATATTGCTTTTAATGAAATTTTAAGTTTTTTATACTTTTCACTTTACAAGAAAATTCCAACAAGAATTTTTTTTTCCTTACGTTACTTCAAATTACACAAACTTGATACTTGAAAATTAATAATTCGAATACTTAACACTATAAATTAAATATTTGGCACTCTCACTTTTGTGCTTTAAACTGCAAGTTTAGTAAAGTAAAAGTTACGTACACTCTTGATACTTGAGACTATGATTTGAATACTTTGCCCTTTAAGTATAAAAGAAAAATACTTAGCACATTAACCTCAACTCATAGCACTTGGCAAGAAAAGTTTTAATAATAAAATTCTTTCAATCCATTTTTATAATTATTAACTAACTATTATCAAAAATCATTCACTTTGTTTCGCAATAGTACTTTTTGCTTCCTTAATATTAATTACTAATAAAAGTTTTAAGGACAAGTTTGTATCTAGGTTTACGAAACTCAGGACAAAATTTACTGGTCCGTTTTTTGAAACACACATAAGAAAATCATTTTTATTTTAATACACTGTAAAAAATTTTAAACAGCAGTTATTCAAAATTATATTTTATATATAAAATTCTTTTCAGCTTAACTTTAAAAAAAAAATAATTTTAAAAACTCTGTATTTTTTGTAAAGAATTTTGATCTGGTCCTCAGCATTTCTTGACCCTGGGACAGTTGTACCTGTCTTCCTCACCCCCTTGATTACAGATAGTGAAATAAGTACTAGAATTACTATTTCAATGTAAATGGTGCTTCCTGGGGAGTTAATTAATTCACAAAAATTAAATTTTTGAAACATTCAGTTCTTACCATCCTAATTATAGTTTGTGAGCTACACACTATTTGTTTCCATGCTTTCACCTTATTGACCTATTAATTATAAATATAGAGCAAGAAAATAAACGTGATATTTTACTATTGATAATATTTTAAGAAAGTTTTATAAGAATAAGCTCTTTATTTATTTAACTCTTTCAAAAGCGTTTTGTTATCCTAATAATAAAGCCTTTTGTCAGAAATTAATGAATTATCTGAATGGTCTCATGATTATACAATGTCCAATTAGTTCAAGAATTCGCGTCTCATTTTGCAACCAGCTTATTAAGAGAAAATTCTTTTTTCAAAACCGAATTAGTTTTTAAGAGTACCCAAAGTAAACGAACACGGACTTTACTATTGAGTGTTAATAAAATTGGACTTTGTCTTATTACTAGGGGGCTCCTCCTGTTCGCTTCGCTCAATAAACCCATGAATAGGTTGCAGTCATTTCTGTTTCTTGATGATAAACAGATTATCGAACCAGAATTAAAAATTATACATATAAATAGTCCCATAAATGTTTTATTGTATTCGCAGATTTTTTTCCACAGATTTAGCTTCCGATTCGATTAGGATATAATCTAAACCTATATAAACATTTTGCAACTTCATCTAAAAACTTTTTTTTAAATTTTCATTAATTTAAAAACTCGTGAACCAAAGTGATTAATTTAGCAATGATGTGAAAAACGAAGCTCTAATATTGCTTTAGAATTTTAAACAGTTATTTTCCGTTTAGTTCTTTAATTGTATGCATTAAATTAACACAGCTTTAAATTAAAATTATTACAAAAGTAAATATAACTTATTAAAAAATAAAGTAACTTATTGATGGTGTAAAAGTTCCCTAAATATATTTACCATAAAATGTTGCACTAGTGAAGCAATATCGAAAAAATTGCATTATAATATGAAAGTAAGAACAACTCTCTTAGTTTTAAGTTTTTAATTGTAAATAATAATCAAAATCATACATAAAATAATAACAGAGAATAACATTAAGAAGAGATAAGAAATAAGTG